TGAATTTAATTTATTTTAAGGCTGAGTAGTATTCTGTGGTATATTTCTACCACATTTTCTTTATCCAATCCACCATTGATGGGCACCTAGGTTGATTCCATGTTTTTTATTGTGAATAGTGTTGGAGGTGGGGTGCGCTATTGAGGCAGGACTGGCCGTGAAGCAGGGGTGAGTTCGGTGCTATCAGGGGCTGCACTGCTGGCGGCAGTCAGCAGAGTTTGCAGCAACAGTGTGGCATCCAAGGAAGGAGTGGTTCTGCTCTCCCTGGACGCCACACTCCAGTGGGCCACCTACTCTTGTCATTACTGGAGCATAGCAGGCTCACAGTGTTTCCATGGAATCCTGGCGTGGCAGAGCCCCACACCCATGGTGGCTCCTGGGCCCGTGCACTCTGGGTCTGTGCCTTAGAGGCTGCCAGGAGCCCCGGTTATTGAGTAGCAGACACCATGGGGGAAAGGGCCCTGGCGTGGAGACATCCAGAACAGGAATTGGCATCTGGGTGTGGAGGGCTGGGCTGGGTCCTGAATTTCTCGGCTACTCCTGTTCCCTGAGGACTGCAACCCCAGTGGGCCCAGTGGTTCCTGTGGAGTGGGGAGCTGGCGCTGTGGTGTCTCCAGCACCCACTCCAGGCCCCAGGTCCTGGCCAGCTTCAGCCAAAAGGGGAGGCTGAACTTTGGAGGGTGGGAGCGAGTGCCTTTTGCTGAAACGGGCCCCTGCCACCCAGTCCCTGGCATGACAAGTTGAGGCTCTTAATGATACCACCCTACATCTTCCTCTAGACTTTTCTGGCTTTGCCTGCCCAGCTGCTCTGTGCCAGGAGGAGGAGGAGACACCTGGAGCCTGTGGACACCACGGCTTGCCTCGCTGAGCGGGGGTGGCAGCGACGGAGCCTGGCCCTACCCTGGCATGCTATTCTGGCCCCACCCCTGACCCTGTCTCTGTCCTGGCTCTAGCTAAGTTGGCTATGGCCGTGTTCCTGACATTGCCCTTTCCTGGTCCTGGCCCTGGCCCTGGTCCTGCTCTGGCCCTGGTCTGAACCCCGGCCCTGCAATGGACCTGCCTTGGCCCTGCCTATACCCTGCCTCTGGCCCTATCTCTGCCCTGGCCATACCCTTGCCCTGGCCTGGACTCTGATCCTGGTCCTTGTCCTGCCCCAGCTGTGGCCCTGGCCCTGCCCTGCCTGTACCCTGTTCTATCCTGGGCTGGCCCTGCCGTTGCCTGGTCTTGCTATTGCCCTGCCCTAGCCTGCCTTGCTTGTGCCCTAGATCTGCCCCGGCCTTTGCTCTTGTCTTGGTTCTAGCACTGACTCAGCCCTGGACCTTCCCTGACCTTGCCTCAGCCCTGGCACTGCCCTGGCCTTGCCTTGGCATTTGCCCTACTCTCTCTAATGCCTGGCTCTGGTCCTGCCTTGCTCTGCTCTTGTTCTGTCCTGGCACAGCCCTGGCCCTGGCCCTGGTCCTGCCCTTATGCAGGCCTGACCCTGCCACTGCTCTGGCTTTGACCTGGACCTTGGCCATACGGTGACCCTGCCTTGACCCTTTCCTGGCCCTGGCCTGGAACCTGGCCGTGCCAAGGACTCGCCCTGGCTCTGTCATGGCCCTGGCGTTTTCTTGGATTTGGATGTGCCCTGTCCCTTATTTGCCCCGGCCCTTCCCTGGCTCTGCCCTTCCACTTCTCTGGGGTAGGGGGACAGGGTCAGGACCAGGCCAGGGCAGGGTCAGGACCAGGGTAGGGCCTTGGTAAGGCCTGAAGATGGGAAGGGCCAGGGCAGCGGCAGGGCCAGGGAAGGGTCAGGGCCAGGGGATATGGTAAGACTAGGGGCAGAGCCAGTGCTAGGGCTGAGCCAGGGCAGAGCAGGAGAGATTATATTAGACTATTATTTACAAATTTTGTTTTAGATTTTTATGGTAACTGTAGTATTAGTAATAATATCTGTAGTATGTTGTTTGTAATAGCAATAGTATTTGTAGTAAATCATTACTGAATTTTAAGTTATACTTTCTTTGCTTCCGGTAGTGTTCTATGAGTATAATTTTATAAATACATATATTTGTGAGGCATCGTCGGATTCTCACAATTACTCTATGTGTTAGGTACTTATGGCATCCCATTTCCTAACATAGGGAAACAGACTAAAGAGGTTAAAGTACTTTGGACCAGATTACTCCCAGCCTTTGGGAGGCCAATGTGTTTTTGTGTGTATGGCTTTTGTTTGTGGAGTATTGGGACTGTGTGTATTCTTTCATTCTTACATATTATAGTTTACATATTAAATTTAATTAAGTTTGTTGTGTCTTGTACAGCTGGTCAAATACACAGGGCATGTGTTTGGGCAGGGCCGGGGACAAGGCAGGCAGGAA